TTGAGTTGTTTCAATAGCTACTTAGAGCAATCAAAAGAAGAAGTTGAAAAGAATGCAAACTGGAAAGAAATGCAGACCTTGGCATGAGCAGCAACATTTATTCTTGGGTCAGTAGGCTTGCATGGATTCAAGTGCAAAATAATTCAGATAAGTATTGTGTAATGAGCTCATGTGTAATGAAGTCTTTATGTATTTCTTGGAATAGCAGTCTTTGGGGAACACTTTGAAGGACAGATTTGAAAAGAAATTTAGATAAATGAAATCAAGTAATAAGCATGTCTGTAATATGAAGAGATTTTTTTTTTTTACTACCTGTCTCATCTTCATCTTCATAGTAAGCGTTATCTGATGGAGTAGCAAATGTGGTGGTGTTTTGGTGATTTGAATTGTAGTTATCTGAGATTAGAAAGTTTAAACGATTAGTAATCCATACTCATTAGTATTTGAGTTATTGCTCATAACTGCTTAAGGTTGTAAATGCAGACTGAAATGTTTGAGGCAGTATGTTGATTTCTAGCTTTTCATTCTGTATTGCATACAAGCTGATTGATGCATTCTGATTTCTTTATTTGGTCAGGAGTGTAGGCTCAGTAGCTTTTTGGAGAAACACTGTTCTTCAAAACCTGGACTGAAATGTGTTCATCTTAGATGGAGAATATTACACTTACTAATTTTCCAGAGCTGCGCAGGAGATATGTTAAGTGATTAAAACAGGGACAATATGTAAGCAAAATACATTATTTAACTTTGATGGCAGAAATATTTTACTTTCAGGGATTCCTCTCTTGGACTACTTGTTCATACTACTAGGACTGCTTGTCCTAGTTTGCAGTTCAGTTCTTTAATCTCTTCTGTAGTTAAGACTTTGCGTGTTATCATCTCTTCTTTTGTAGTGCTTTGATACATTTAATCTTGCTCAGTTGTTGGTAGATTGCAGTAGGACAGTAACTTGTAGTATATAATTGCATTTTTTTTCTTATTGATGCCTATGTCACTGTAAAACCAAAGAAATACTCGTTCTCTGCCTTGCCCCGATTGTATAATCCATAGATTATAGGTCAGTTTTATGTTCTCTTGAATTTGAGGTAGCAACTTTTTCTTGAAGAGAAAAATGCCATTGCAAACTGCAATTAACGCTTGGACTATTTCCATTAGTTAACCTTGCAAAACTTTTCTCATGTAGAAATTTAAGCCCATATGCTGTCAGAACAGGGCCTTTATGGACTCTTCTTAGGAATTGTCCTTCTGAATATTTTAAGTTTGCTATCAGTTTCCTGATAGGAAAGCTGTTTGCGCAGTTTGGGAGGCAGTGAAAACTCATCTCTGCTTTCTGGTGACAATGATTGGACTCCACATAATTTTTTGTTGTCATTTTGGAGCTGCCGTTGTAGCCTTCCTGCTTACGTTAATAAATTTCTTCCTTGTGGGGGGAGCTGGGAACTAATGCTCAGCTATAAATCCTTTCCTTCTTGCCCCTCCAGAGAAACTGTCTGAAGTGCCACTGGGCTTTTAGTTTGAGAAAAGCACCTGCCTAGGCTGGGTGTTAACATCCCCACGGCTAGCTTAAAACCTGAAGTAATCTGATTTCATGCAGTACAATCAAGAGCAGAAGCCATCCAGTTAAGCTTAGGTACGAGAAATAGTTAGGTCTACTTAGGTGGAGGAATATGCAATTGAGGTAACTCTCATATTTTTGCACCAAGCTTCTGAACCCGTTTCATCGTAGGATAGGCAACACTAGAATTGTGCTGATTTCTTTCTGCTTTTGCTCTGTAGTTCATTTTTGTACCTTCAGATCTGATTTAAAGTTAGGGCTCTCTTTCCCCCCTTCTCCCCCCCCTTTCCTAATTCCAATGTAGAAGAAAAACTTTCTTTACTCCTTTTCTATTGTACCTTTCCTAAATCTGTTTTCACAGTTGCCCTTGTCTTCTCTTGAATATGGCAAGCAGTGTGCTTGAGACTTTTGAAAACATTTTCCTCTACTCACTCATCAGTCAGCTCTTTGAAAGAGGAAGCGATTAGCCGAGGTTGCTCAAAACGTTGGGGAATTTTGGTTGGGAAGGTGTGACAACAGAAATAGAGGCCCACAGAATTATGTGCTTTATACACTTCACAAAGTAGCACGTATGACTAATCCATCCCACTGTAAATTCTGGTACTCAAATGACCTAAACAGCTTAGTTCCATAGCCTAAAATAGCCACCGTCTTATTCTGACTTTCCTGCAAGTTTTATTACTGTAAATTGAACTCCTTTCACAGGAATGTCTGCCTGTTTTAGGGGCACATTAGCTGAATGTGGGGTTTTGTACAAAGCAGTAGGAATGAAATTTTCGTTCCCTTGTTAAGTAGCTTCTGTTTTTGCGAGCCCTGGAATGATTTAGTTTTTATGTGCTAATATGTGGTGTGTAAGAATTGAAATATATTGAGTAGTAGCTTCATTACCGTTATTTATAGAAACATGAGTTATAAGCGTTAATACAGCCAAACTCAATTCCTTATTCCTAAGAGCTGTTGCACTGAAATACCTTTTGAAAAGAGCAGCTCTAGATTGAAAATTAGTTTTGTAGTCTATATTTACCTAGCACAAGCAGTAATTTTTGGTTCTGTTTTTTTTTTTCTTCCCCCACAGAATGTGTAAGAGTTAGCTGAAGAAGGTCGGCACTGGATTTTCTGTCACTGTTCTGGTCAATGAAACATGGGGCTCTGTTCAGGCCACTTACTAATAGTATCAAGGGGTACTGAAGCACTGCAGAAACTAAATCGGGAGTAGTGAATAGTTCAGGCTGTCTGTTATCCAGGTTGTGGTTGTGTTCTTACAGGAAAGCAGGTAAGGTGCCTAATTCTGTGGAGGTGAACTTGAGGACACGGTTATTCCTCTGTCTGGGTGTGGAAGCGGGGTCTGATACCTGTGTGTAGTAGCTAGCTCAGCTTGCTCACTGGGGCTTACAGATGTCAGGTAGCTGTTGTAGATCATTAGAATATGGACAACTTTGGTCACTGAAAAGATCAATTCCAGCTTTCCAAGTGGATTATCACTCAGTACACCAGTCTTTGATGTAAAAGGTATTGCTTGGGACAAGGTGGTTGGTAAACTGGTGTAGCTGAAACTTTACTAAAATGTAGTCTGGCTCATTTGCAGATCTCTCTTTTTGTGCAAGCTGAACGCAGGGAGCTTGACAGCAGCTGGCAGACTGATCATCCATGACAGCCTTGCCCCTAAAAGCATAGGGAACACTTGATGTTCTGGGCTTTCCTTTCATCTGACTCTTTGCAGAGATGTTCTGTAGCATGGAAGTTCTTCACAGTATGAAGGTTTGAGTGTGATTGCTGCTGTGTTGATTACGCTAGTTTTGCATGTGAAGAATGATAAAGCTGCAGACGCAGTTCGCCATATTTGATGCTGTCTTCCCAAGAAGCCCTTAGTTGTGAGTAGTGATAATAGGTTCCTCGCTGGCTTTACACATCTTGAAGGGCACCTGTTTAATCCTCAACTGGTTGCAGTCTAGGAGAAAACATTGCAAAAAGGGTGCAGACTTCCCAAGCATGTAGAATTACAGTTATAGATAAAAACCTAACACCTTCAGGGAAGGATGCTGGATTTCACTGAGATGCTGTTGCAGTACTTGCAATGAAGCATCTCGTCTGCGAGACTTTGCTTCAGTTTGGGTACTGCAAACCACAGCAATACCTTGGGCCTCCCTTCACAGAGGGCTTCCCTATCGAATAGAGGACACCTTCAAGTAAAAGGACATGCCTGTGGTGAAATACATTTGCGTAGAATGTGTGTGTTCTTCTTTTGTCACTTCCTAACGTCTATCCTAGCTGAATAATTCCACTTCAGAGGTGAAAGCTTGTCCGTGTCATGTTAGGGGTGGTGTGTTCTCTAGCTGTCTCAGGCTGTTGCTGCCACAGGTGACTTCTGGGTTTTTTTTTGTCTGAAGGCTTGATCAAAAAAACAGCTTGTAACTGTTCCAGATGAGTTGAAGTTATCCAAGTGCGGCATGCTCTGGATGTTGCAAGGAGGAGGGATTTGTGGCAGGTGATGAAGGTACCCATTGCTATATACTAGACTGGTGAACCTACTTCACTACTACGAGTGCAGAATACAGCAATATCTTTAAAGGTGGCTGAATTACTTATGAAGGCTGAGTGTCCTTCCCTCTGGCAATAGGCAGTAGAGGCATGCTTGGTGTCCTCTTCAAGTGACCTCCTAGCCAACCTTCCCTGTGACCTCCTATCAAAGCTTCTCTGTAACCTCTCCTTGCTTCTTCCAGCAACATAAGTTACTACTACAGTTACTGTGTAAACTTACTTCTACAGGGCAACTGGGGATAAGTTTCTTTCAGCTCATCATGGTAGGGACTGAGCCTCTGCCTGTTTGCAAAGGCTCTGTTCCTTCAGCTGGAAATGCTGCTGGAACTTAGGACGTTTGGTCCCATCTGCACAAGTGAAGAAAACTTCTTGAAGCATAGGAAAAAGGCTGCCTGAGAAGACCAGAACGTTATCTCCAATGAAATGGAGCTCATCAGGCCATTTAAAATGTCACTAAATGGAGTGTTGTGCTCCGTTCAAGAGACATCTGCATTTTTAGAGGTATTACATCAGATCACCCCGTAAGACTGATATATAGCAAAGCAAAGCCCATTGCTGTCTATTTTAGAGACTAAACAACAGCTCATTTTTCCTCTGCTTGAACGTCTTAGCTTTTCAAAAAAGCTTAGCTTTTATTCTGAGCTTCCAGCTGAGCACTGTATGAACGCTTTGAATTCTTCCTGGTGGTATATAGTGCAAACTTCATAGCACTGTATTACATGAAAATAGTTAGGCACTTCTGTACTCAAGGTGAAGCTCACACACAGCACTCCTTGCCTTCTAAAGCTTTCCAGCAAATGCTCCTGCAGTTTTTATTGTACAGTAGACAGGTTTAATAAAGATTTTTTCTTTTTCCTCCAAAGGCGGACTTGTTTTGATCACCCTGTCTGCTTTTTGTTTCCTTCAGTGATGGGGAGGGAAAGAAAAGAACACCAACTATCTGCAGCAGTGAGTCTCTAAATGCTGTGGGGGCCGCGCTCACACCGCGCCGCATCTCCTGGCGGCAGAGAATATTCCTGCGGGTGGCTTCACCTATGAATAAATCTCCTTCCAGGATGCAGCATCCAGGTCTGTGCGTGTTTTTAAAGAAAATAAACAAGCAGATGTTACTGAATAGTTACTACTGAAATAAAACTGTAACATGTAAAAATATGGAAGGAAAAAGGGAGTCAGATTTGTATAACGTTCTTGCAAAAACCTCGCTACAGATATGTTTTGCTCAGTTGGTTTTAGGTCTTTGTTGCTTTGAACAGATGATTCAGTCATCAAAATCAAGTGAATTGCTCTCTGCTGTGCCTGCACAGATAGCAAAGACACTAAAAACTGCCTTTTGCTCACAAAGATACCCCCTTTACCAGACAGCAAGTTTTTACTCTAGCCTGCTTATGTAATAGCAGTGTTTGCAGCAAACAGGGTCATTTCTCTGCCTTGTCCTTGGACTGTACATAGTGCCTCCTGAGTGGGTTAATAATTCTAACAGCTTTAGGTCCCGTAAGCTGGAAACCTCTGAAATATCTGAAATGGTGATATATTTTGAATATGGTGCCATTAGTAGAACTGAGAACTCTAGACTGATGGCAAACTCTATATGTACTGACCATAAAGTTCTATATCCCTATCCTGCAGCTTAGCAGATGGAAAAAGTTACTTTTCATATACAGCCTGTGGTAAATCATGACAGTAAACATGTTCAGCTGTAGACAAGACTATGGATAAATGCCTGTTTGCAGTTAAGAAGAAGTTAGGGGGGGGAAGGTGTTGAAATACTGGGTGACCCTAACACTTGAATAAAACAAAATTCTCCACTGTTGAGCTGCACTTTCTGGCTTTGCACCGAGTGCTTCGCTGCTGAAAGACAGCTATTTCCATTCTGCTGTGACATAGCTATTCATGATATGTCAAACGGTCTGTTTCCTGTAATAGCTCTTTGATTCTTTGCAGATGGTCATGAGGGAAGAGAGTTGTTGCCATTATCACCTCTTGCTCCACCGTTGGAGGAGGACCCTCTAGTTTTAGTACTGCAGAGCGAAGATGTCCCAGATAAAGGTGAAGAGAGGAAGAACTCGGAAGAACTACAAAGTCTATGGAGAAAAGCCATCCATCAGCAAATTCTGTTGCTTCGAATGGAAAAAGAAAACCAGAAGCTGGAAGGTTAGCTATTTAAAAAAATTCCCCTGAAAACCATTACAGATTCTGCTGTCAGACACTGAAAATTGTCCTGGTGTTGGGTACCTCAAACAGTGGTTCTGTAACTTCTTGGTTAATGCTGCCGGAAAATATTACCAAATATTCTTTTTCTTTCTTTTTTAATTCCCTGCATAGACCTATCTTAGTTTACTACGTTCTTCCTCTGCATGCCAGATTGGTAAAAGGAGAAAATGTTGTTAGGCGTAAGTCACTACAGTATATGTATATGTTTTGGCTGACGAAATGAAGGAATTCTAATACAAAGTGGAGTCAGGAAAATAGGTTCTGTGTGAACATTTAAGAATGGTGGACCTTACCCTCTGTGTCTCATTTCAATCCTTTGCAGCCCAGCCACAAATTACTCAAACAAATATCAGGCACTGTAAGAGCATGTGGCAATTCTAACTAGACTTCTTTTGTCCCTCATTAACCACGTCACAGTAGTAAGTTATAAATAATTCAATCCAAATAAGATTTTTGAGTAACTGACTCAAGGTATGTCGAAAAAGTCTTTTTTTTTTTTTTTTTT